TATTTGTTATTGTACTAAAATGGTGGCCTAAATGTTGTGTATTATTTTTTTAGATATTATATTAGATTAAGTTATTCTTATAGAAAAAAAAGTAATAATGTATATATGTGCAGATAAGTGATAAAAAGGTTCTTTTTTTTATTGTTTACTTAAAACATCCAACAGAAGTCATACACTTAAAATTTATAATGATAAATTCACAATTTTGCATTAAACTGAATATTTTTAAATACATTATCTTAGATAATGATGTACTTATGTAGAATTTACTAATATTTACTCTATATACATACAAATATATTGTATTATTTCAGACTTCCCATATTAATATTTGGATAAAAAAGGCCAAACATTTTTAGATTCCTTATAATCGTATAAAGCAACTTTTACAGGGAAAAAAAAGGACATTGAGTACAGTTCTTATCTAGAAATAGTCTTTGAACTAAAGTTCTTTTTAAGTAATGACAAGACTAAGTGCCATTTATTTCTTAAATATTATATAAATATGCCATTACTTGAATTAATATATAATATGCTTGAATAAGATATAACTATTTTCAGGGAAAATTTTTTTAGAAAATACATACATTAAATTTTCTAACAAAATAATCATCTCTTACCTACTTCAATACCATAAAATATATTTGGAGGTAAATTGACTTTCCTGTATAAAGTTTTATTTTTGAGCTATGGGGGCAGTAGATGATAATAAACAATAGTGCTAAGTCATTGTAAGCGATTATTTCTATATTCAAGTGTGTAATCCCATATAGTTAAAAATACCTTAGAATATCTTATTATAATTGGTACATCGCCCCTTCTCTTTTAAGACAGGCAAAGCGTTAATCCGGACTCGTAGGGACTTCGGAGCCGGATTATCGATTTTTCCGGATTATAGATCACAGTTACATAGGTAAATGGCATGCAGAAACAAAAAAAATAGGAACCGAATTATGAAATAAAGAACAATATGATCTAAAGGTATCAAAATTCAAAAGAAAAGCTTATTTTATTTTTTTACTATTTTCTTTGCAAGTTGTAAGTTGCTTCGTTCATGTTATAATTTTCTTTTAATTCTATTAGCAGACATATTTCTTGTTCATTACAAGTTCCGCGTTCAAGCCTAGAATCGCTGGGCGAGAACACCACTAATTTGTCAATCGAAATGTGTTCGGGGTCCAATAACCTGGTCACTTTCTTCGCTATCGGAAGCGAATTATAATGACGGGAACGTGTGTTTAAATCAAAGACGGAGTACGAGAGAAATACACAGTTGTAAGGAATATAACCAAATAAAAAAAAAATCTGCGCTGAAGATAAGATAGTGGACAGATCAACTTCCATCATGCCCGCCGCCGTGTGAATTGATGACAGATTCGGATTTCAAAACATACTTTCGCTTTAGATCCTTTACATATTCAAATATCTAAAGCAATTCTAAGATATAGTGAAGTTAAGCTACTGGATAAAATTGCGCTACGCTGCAAAAAGAAGACCGGATCCAATGCGAATAAAACAACGCAATCATCAACAGAACGAAATCGATAATTAGATAGTTGCGCTTATACTCCATTTACATAAACGCTCCACGCGAAACGTATTCTGACTGGCGCACACTTAGCAGTCTAAGAATCTTACGCGCACGCATAACTATGCGCATGTCAACGCGGCGCATGCAGAAAGTTTTTAGTTTGAGTCCGGATGATAGACATCCGATTATGGTGTCCTATTACGACTTTGACTGATTAATATAAGAAGAGTCAATTGTATTTTAAATAAATCATCAGGTACACTATCAAAATGGTAAAAAATTTTCACGTCTTTATATTAAAATTTGAGTTCTTCTAAGAGTTTTAAAACAAACCCCACACAAAAGTTTGTTGTAGAAACCAAAATTATGATAAAAAATTTCTAAACTTTTTTTTAAGGAGCTGGGTGTTTGTTAACATCCTTTTCAGCAATCTTTTTTTCGAGACCTCAAAATGTATGTATGTATGTATATCTGTGCACACACCACAAACGTATGTACACACATATACATATGCTCATGAACACCACATCCGTTCATACAGCATATGCACTTATGAATAAATGTTTTGTATGCAATTTTTTTATAGAAATATTTAGCTACCATGACAGAAAAGTTACACAAGGTTTTTAAGACGATTTTTCAATTTCGTTTCATAAGAATGTGATTTTACTGCTTGCATGAATGATTTATTTAAATCTGTTGATAAGAATTTCAAGAAATTCTGATTATATGTGTAAACTTCGTATCTGTATAAAATGGTTAAACATTAACAATTTAAAACAAGAATAATATTCAAATTTATTTAAAGTCCTTTATTTTATATAAAGTTTTAGATATCTATCAAAGAATGATAGTAATTAATCATCAAACGAAATAAAAAAAAATATTTCTTTTCTTGACATTCTAGCACTACACGAAAAAGCGATTCACGATAATCAACACAAATGTGAACAAACATCTCTTCAGGACTGGTCGGAATGCGCAGAAATCACGAAAGTGTCTCTGCGCAACTGGTCGGACGTTTAGCATTTTTACCATGTTTGAGCTAATCGTCCGACGCGTACGTAACATACCAAAACGCGACCTTCCTTCACATGCTTATTTTTCCACGAGATAATATACGGTAGAGGCAATTGCACCTTCAACCGGTTCCAACATTAGTGTCAGTGACTCTGCGCGAATTCCGAAGTGCGGAACTTTACATTGATTCTATGGACGAAGACTGCTGCTCTTTGTCACATAAATTTAATAAATGGTATTCGCTGCATGTAAAGAAATTTTCTGAAGGAGGACTTTAACCTTTCAGTAAGTTAACTGCATGATTTATTATTTTATTTCAGTTTTTTGTCTTTTACATCTCTGTTGAATGTTGAATTTCAGCCATATTGTATAAAAATTGCCGCCTATATGTCATTTTCCAGCATGTATTATTAGGCAGTCAAATGTATTAAATACTGTGACACTATTTATTTGGAATCACCCTTTACAGATAATTGAATTTATATGTTTTTTTCCGTATATTCCGTTGAAATAGAAAAGCTCCTGCGCCAATTGCGTTAACCTTTTTTCGCCAATCGTAGCGTTTTGTGATTTCCATAAACAATTACTGCCTGCGATAAAAAAAGAAAAACGCTCTTATTTAAGCTTAAATGATTGAGAAAAGATTGTGCGATATGTTTACTCTTTTGTTAAAAAAAAGCTAAAGATATTGAGGTCATGCAACTTGAACTAAACAGTTTCACAAGCATTATTTTAAAAATCAATACTTTTTATAAGCTCATGCTATATCATTATTTTCTATAAATCAATTAAAATAAAAATAATCTGGATTTAATTCTGTCCCCATCACGATGGCTGTTAGAAATTATTGTAAATTGAACAATGCGATGTGAAAAACTTATCATATTTTAAATATATTTTAAAAAAAAAAAAAAGGAAGTGAGAGAATTTTTAACTGTAAATAATCGTTTTGATCCTAATAATAAATACGGAGTTCAAGTTTTGTTACCGTTTGATACATAGTCAATATAAAATAATTTTTATAGTTAATCAGATTATTTGCCCCCCCAGGACATACACAAGAGTGTGGAAATCAGTAATTAAGATTGCATTATTTTGTCCAGTAATTAATCTCAAGCAAACGAGAGTGCATTATTTTTTTTCCAGTAATAGTAATCTCAGAAAAAAAGGCAATCAATGGCATAAATACATAGAATACAATGTGATTTTCTGTTCTCTTTAGGATGCAATTATTAAAATTAAACGAAATTTTTTTTTACCTTCTCAATATTATAACAGTATGATTATTTTTAACGTTATTCAAAATTAAATTCCATCCAATGTTTTATATTAGTTGAGATTTCCTTCCTAAAATATTAATCTAACCTCTTAACAATGGTGCAAGTTGATTTAAAGCAATTATTTAAAAATATAGATGAAATATTCAGGAAAAAAGGTTTAAGTTATATCTAAATGAAGTGTAAAAATCGAACAACCTAATTATTTGAGCCGTTTGTCTGCTGACTGCTATCAGACGGAAATAAAAGTACTACCTCCATACCAAAAGCGGGCCACACTGACGTAACAGCTTAATCTATCCTCTCCAAAGAGCGCCCAAGAGTATTAGCCACGTGGTATATGTTGGAGACACCCTAGCAGACGAATTCTCTGTGGGTGAGCCGTCTACCTGTTATATGAAGTCGTTGGATTTTTCGCTCATCGGGGCAAAACGACTTGGCGAGTGCAAAACAAGAAATCTGTCTGTGTACAAGTCATTCCAGTAAAAGAATATGTAAAAGACAAAATGGATAGTGCAAGAGAGGAACATCATATATGTTTGGTGTGTAGAAAATCATTTAGACGAAAGTTCAGTTTAAATGTACATATGCGTATTCACACAGAAAAATCTCATGTATGTGAAGTATGTCAAGCGTCATTTAATCAGAAAAAGATACTAAGCAGGCACATGCTTATTCACACAGGAGAGAAACCTCATGTATGTGAGGTATGTAACAATTCATTTAGACAACTGAAAACATTAAATGATCATATATTGATTCACTTAGGAAAGAAAGATCATGTGTGTGTGGTGTGTGGAAAGTCATTTAGACGAAAGTTTACTTTAAATATGCATATGCGTATTCACACAGGAGAGAAACCTCATGTATGTGAGGTATGTAGCAAATCATTTAGACATACGAAAACATTATATGATCACATGCTTATTCACTTAGGAGAGAAAGCTCATGTGTGTCTGGTATGTAATAAATCATTTAGAGGAAAGCGAATATTAAATGGTCATATGCTTGTTCACACCCAAGAGAAACCTCATGTATGTGAGGTATGTAACAAGTCATTTAGATATAAGAATTCATTAAACAAACATATGTTAATTCACACAGGACAGAAAGCTTATGTGTGTATGGTATGTAGCAAATCATTTAGAGAAAAGGGAACGTTAAATGATCATATGCTTGTTCATACACAAGAGAAACCTCATATGTGTGAGGTATGTAACAAGTCATTTAGACTAAAGAATACTTTAAAGAAGCATGTCCTTATTCACAGTGGAGAGAAACCTTACGTATGTGAGATATGTGACAAGTCATTTAGACAAAAAGGGCATTTAAGAGTACATCTGCTTATTCACATGAAGGAATAACCTCAAATGTGTAAGTTATGTTCTTTAAATTAAAGTATGTTTAAACCAAGGCTCTGACTCCTGGAATTTTAAAGACTCTGGCTCCCTCCTATATATGTTAACATATACACATGTGTTACAGCTCTTATTTTTTTTTTTAATATAAAAGTAGTAAGAGATGTTACCAAAAAAAAAAAAAAAAAAAAAACTGATGGCATTGCAGATTATTTATTTAGCATGAAATGGAAAAGAACTGGCATTACTAATTGATAAACTTCAGAGCTGAGAATAGTCTTTCCACACTAACTTGAGTAGAAGGAAGAGCTGTTATTGTTAGAGCTACTTCTTTTAACTTTTCATGATAGATTTGGATAAGTTCTGAAGGAGGTGTCTTACAAGAGCGATCATATTTCTGTATTTCTTCAAGGGCTGTGTAGAAATCTTGTTTGTATTTCTTCATTTTTATATCTAAAGACTCATTGTTCTTTAATTTCATTCACTTTGTCACAGCCTTTTCAGTATTGTCCAAATATTTCTCAAAATCTAATTCATCATTGGAAGAGGAGGATAGAGGCTCAGTTGTAGTTTCTGCAGTACGACTGTACTGATGTGAATACTCCAACTATTCTGAGAATAATTTCATTCTTAGAGGAAATTTATAGATGGCTTTCAGCGGCTTTTTAATTTGTTCGTCATCCAACAAAATTCGGCGTTTTGGATCTGCATATGTTGAACCCAGCAAGATCTCATTGTCTAGCAAACAAATTTCTCTTTTCTTCATTGAGGAAATGTTTCCTTCATCAATAAGACCTCCCATTTTAGAAAGAACAAACATCACATTCTTCCATTCTCACAAAAACAAGCCTCATATTAATTTTTCAAACTAGCTTTTTTGTGGCTATGTATGGCGTAGAAAGAAGAGTTTCAAATTCTGCAACATTATTCCACAGTCTTCCTGTTAGTGAAGCATTAGGATTATCTACATCTTCTAAAACAGTTCTTAATTGTAACAACTTCTTTATCATCACATATGTACTTCATTGTGTTGCTTGATTGCTGCTTGCCTTCTAAGGAATGGTACCAATTTTGGGAGTTCATGCTGCTATTGCTGCTTATCTAACTTTACCAATGAGATTTCTTCAACCCATCTCTAACAGCAAGGTGTGGACTGCACAATACATTTGCTTGATTTCGCAGAGTTTTGATGTCTCTTCAGCAACATCATCCATCCTACTTCCTTATATTTATTTATTAATATGTTGATAAAATAGGAAATTATTAAATATTTATTATAGTCCATAAATAAAATTAATAACTCAGTTGTCATTATTATTATAATTTTTTTTCCAGTTTGCTTAATTTCATTTCAAATTCAAACTGTCCAACAAAAACTGAAGTCGACGTATTTTTAACGACTACAGCTACGACTACTTTTACCCAAAATTCTGCCTAACTCCGACTCCACAGCTCTGGTTTAAACAAGCATATGCTTATTCATACGGGACATAAACTTCATGCGTCATGTATAGAACAATTCATTTAGTGAGGAGAAGGATTTGAAGAAAGGTACATTGATGTTCACAGAAAAGAAATCATGTTCCTTTTTAGAATAGATGAGATTAGTAAGATTGCATATTCTTTGTGGAAAACTGTGGTTTAGAAATACATGTTGAGCAGCAAAACCCACAAAATTCTTGTTTTGCAGAAACAGATGCATATTCAAATAAGAGAGATTTTATGTGTATGGTATATGTGAGAAATCATTCCAGTGAAATTATGATTTGCTTATCCACCCTAAATCTCATGTTTGTGATATATGTTGCAAGACACTCTCTGGTAAACAGTTAATTTTGCATGTAGAAATCTACGCTGGTGAGAAACCTTATGCGTGCAGTGTATGTACAATTCCAGTGTTATAAATAAGTATATCATGTATAAATCCTTTGTACGATCAACCATTAGCTGTGTATATGCATATTCACACTGGAGGCAGGTCTTGGTGTGCAACATCTGAGCCAAATCATTTTCTGAAAAACAGTTGAATATGCATTTTCCCACTTCAGAGAAGCCTTTTGGAAATGTACTTCCTTGCACATAAGTGGCAGTTAACTGTGGATATCTATAACTGTACTGCAGAGGGACTTCACATGTGTGTTATATGTAATAAATCACACTAATTAAAACTTTGTTTCACAATCAAATCTTTTAGTTCTAATCAAACTTTGTTAGTTTGCAGCAGCTTTTTATTATGAGTATTTTTTGGCAATTATTCAAGATTTGAAAAAAGCTAATTTAATATTCTTTCGAGCCACCCTTATTTTAGGCTTTAAATATTGACCAAAAAAGTTTTTTCATTTAAAAAAAAAAAAGCAAATTTTATAAAGAGTTTCTGCTTGATGTATATGATTGTAATTAGTTTATTTGGCCTTTTTAGGATTTTAAGCATTTTGTTTATCAGGTTTTTTGCAAATTTTTTTTTTTGTTTTTTATGTTTTTAATTTTTAGTTTACACTTTTGCGTATTATTTCTGGAGTCCTGGGGTTGCAAATACATGTAGGGAAAAGGTCTGAACATTTGAGGATCACTAAAATCTTGTTTTAAAGTGAAGATTTGATTCTAATAAAGCAGTTTTGAGTCTCAAATGATTCAGAGGAACGAAACAGTTATTTGGAACTCATTAATCAACTTGGTTTAAGACTTCATAACACTTTTTCCTTGACATCTTCTGTTTGAAGTGTTAAACAGAGGAGATTAATACATATTTTTTGTTTATTGTTCTATTTTGTATTTTTTTCAGTTTAGTATACATGCTTGAAGTTTATTTTGATTTTACATGTACTCCTTTTGGTACATATATCACATCCTTTGGTCTCTCATAGAGAAAGAATTGGTTTGGAGATTCATAAAGAAGACACTATAATTTTTCATTTTAGTTCAAACTTTTCCTTTTAACAAATCATACAGGTATAAATAGCATTTTATAGGGCATATGTATATGTACACCGAACAAAAAAATGTTATGTTTGCGATTCAGTTACATGTCAGTCACCCGAAAATAGCAGTTACATGTGTGATCTACACTGGAGAGATGCCTCATGTTTGTGATATATGTACCAAATCTTTCATACAAATGCCATTTATACTTTTATTCTAAAGAAAAAGCTCATGTATGGGGTTTGGATAACGAGGCATTTGGTTTGGCTTAAGTCATTTAAATATCTTATGTTGAAGAAAGGTGACATATGTAAGGAATTATTCAAACAAAAACAATGTTTAACTGTGCTTAGGTAAACTGACTCTGGAGTACTGCATTAGGAGTAATAGGATGAGTTTTATCATTAGGTAAAGCTAAATATTTATTTGGGGGCAAAAAAATTTAAAACTATTAAATGTTTTAATTTTCAATTTCCAGAAAATTATTATTTAATAGAGTGTTGATTTAATATTGTTTGAATTTTATAATTTCTATTATTTTCTTATTTATATTTATTATTGAATTTTATTGTATTTATATTTTTAGTATTTAATTTAATTTATGTATTTTATGAAAAAAATGAAGTATGTATGAAAAAAATGGGATATACTTCCATTAGTGGCATTTCAGTTTCCTTCACAAAGGGTTAATTCAGCAGCACCAGCTGGAAAAATTGTAGTTCCTAAATAAGTTTTGAGGTCTGAAAATGCAAAAATAATTAATTCAATGAAATAATTAATAATTAATTAAATAATTTAATTCGATGAAATTTTAGGATTTAGGGACAAAGTTTGTATTGGGTGCTAGAAAGCCCAGAACGGGGCCTGATGAGTACTACAGTCAAAAGTCGTTAATTCGGATACCCATAATCCGGACCTCAAAGCTACAAACTTGATGCATGCGCGCAAGACCTTTACGGCTGCGAATATACATGTGCGCAATACGTTTACGCATGCGCGTTTAATGTATAACGGACGGTATAAGCTAAGTTAAAATTATCTAATTCAGTTAATATTGTAGATTGCGTTGTTCCTTAATCTTCGAATTGGATCCGACTTATTATTTTTTGCAGACTCTTAGAGCAATTTTATAAAAGTAAGCTTGAACTTTCGATTATGTCAAATAGAATTTCCGATATATATTTACTAATATGTAAAGGATCTACAAAGCAAAAGTATGTTTCAAGTCATTAAAAACAAAAAGTGGAATGCTGCAAAAAATGGATAAAGGCATATCCTTCGTTTCTCTAACCATTCAGAAATCTGTTTATCAATTTCACGCTGCTCTGCGGCGGGAAGGAGGGGGGAAACGCCGCTTCACGCAATGAATTGGAAGTTGATCTGTCAGCACTATCCTTATCTTCAGGGCAGATGTTTTTATTTTATTTGGCTTATATTTCCTTACTAAATGTAGTATTTCATCTCGATGTACTCCGTCTTTGATATGATTTAAATCAAATTCCTCATCATTGTAATTTACTTCCGATAGTGAAGAAAGTGACACAAAGGTTATAGAAAACGAAAAAATTTCGATTGACTAATTGGTCGGTATTCTCGACACAGCAATTATAGGACTTGAACAGCGGAACAGCAGAAATTAAGTCTGTTTATAGAATTAAAGAGAAAGTATTATCACATAAAATGAAGCAACTTAAACAACTTACATTGAAAGAAATGTTTAATAAAGTAAACAAATAAATATTAAGCTTTTTTTTTTTGTAAATTTTTATAACCCTTTAGATCATAATTGTTCTTTATTCTAACACAACGAACTGATACAAATTGGTTACTTGAGTGACAGCTCCCAGCCAGATGCCGTGAGCATGCATTCTACTGACTCCAAACCACTGCCATTTGTGACGTCAGTCGTGTCAAGCTAGAGCTTATTGGAGGAAGTGAAGATCTGTGATTAGTGAAGATCTGTTGTGTTTTCTGATGAAAGCCAGCTCTGCCTTGGTGCCAGTGATGGCCGTGTGTTGGTTAGAAGGAGGCTAGGTGAGTGTTTGCAAACAACCTGTCTGCAGCTTAAACACACCACTGTACCTACACCTGGAGTTATGGTCAGGGAAGCAGTTTTGTATGGCAGCAGGTGCACTTTTGTGGTTATCCCATGCATCCTGACTACAAATATGTATATCAGTCTGGCGGTTCAACTTGTTCTATGGCCATTCATGAAAAGTATTCAAAAAGGTGTTTTCCAACAGAATAACACTCACTGTCGTAACCCAACAAGCTCTACAGAGTGTCGACATATTGCCTTGGCCTACCAAATCCCCAGATCTTTCTCTAATTGAGCACATATGAGACATCATTGGATGCCAACTCCAACATTAACCATCTTTGTATTGACAGTGCAACAGGTGTGGAACTCCATCTGATATCTGACACCTATATGATACAATGCATGCATGATTGGGTACTATTCTATTATCAGGACCAGGTTCAGAAATGTCCAGGTTATGTGTACCAGGACTAGGTTATGTGTTCATGTATGCATGTATATATGAAAGTATGAATGTATGTGTGTATACACATAAACATATATGGAAACACTCATTCATACATTTCTGAATCCGGTCCCGATAACAGAATAGTACCCATGTTTACATTAAAAACTGATGTTACATCGGTTATAAATGTACCATCATTTCACATTTCAAATGGCTCTTCTCGCACTTGTATTAATCTGTAATCTTGAAAATATTTTCTGTTGAATTCTACAGATAGATATAATTTCTTGTTCAATGTTTCGCTGTTCAAGTCATGTTATTGCTGTGTCAAAAACCCATTAAGTTGTCATTTGAAATTTTTCATTCTTAGCAAACTCTTTATCACATTCTTTACTATTGGTAGGAATATTTTCTAGATTTAAAACTGTACTAGAGATTTCACCATCCATTAGCTGCCTGATAATCAGGGCATGGTCATTCCAACGGAGTACTGTTATATTATCTTCATTTATTACTATTTCTCCACATTTCTTGACAAATTCCAAATGTTGGTGGAAAGTGGAAAATGTTGCCTTTTCTTTGCAATATTCAAAAACCTTCAAATTCATGGCTATCATCATAACTTAGTTAGCATCTGCTATACACTGTTGGCGATTTATTGTGAGATTGGCAGTTGCCAATCATATTCACTAAATCTTCTCCTTCTGTCATGCATTGAGCAAGTTAGGCCAGAATTTAGTTATTATACTGAGGTCTTTTTCCAGCATACTAAAAGACGAGTCTTGAATAATTACAGTTGTGTGCAAATTTAAGAACTTGCACAATATGTGAAATTTCTGAAAAACTAATAGAGTTTAATGAAGTTTGGTGTGAATGTACAATTGATAACAGAGAAAGAGATGTACCATTCAAAAGCTGTTTTATGTATGTAGAATTATCAGTAAAGTTCATAGTGTAAGGATGTCCAAAATCCATGTTGTGTTATGAAACTGAAAATGAGTGTATTATGGAGTATATGTGAGTCTAATCTGGGATATATATCCCCTCTGACATCCTGATAGATCATTTTGCATGACATCATATTGGACAGAACACAGTTGAGGAGTCCCTGTAGCAGTCGATACCACTCCTGCAGCAAAGTTGTTTTTAACTCCAAGAAGGTCCTCGAAGGTAGATGGCAAGATCAGGCTGAATCTGGACTCATCTGTAAAAAGCATGGCCTTCCACTGAGGTTTGGTCCAAGGTGCATGTTTTCTACATCATGCTAAACACTCTCTCTCATGTCTGCAGTGAGTGAGACACAAACAGCAGATCTTCTGGCATACAGCCCTACCTTATGAAACCTCTGATCAACTATAGACCATGAAACTTAAGATTCCAGTGGTTAAATTTAAGATGTATGCCAAACACAAAAGGCTGTGAATTAAATTATTGATACAGATTTACGATTACTTTTTCAATTACTATATAGGAGGTATTTTATTTAGTGCAACATAAACTTAAAAATCAGGATGACTTTCAATATGTTTTATTATGAAAAATTATCAAATAGGCATGCATAAAGCACCCATTTTTTTAAAAAAATTATTGCTGGTAGTTTAAAAGTCTGGATTTTATATTATTTTGGACTTTGTACTATACTTCTTTTTTCTGAAGCTCATTACTTTATTTATAAGCTGAAACATAGTAACTTTTTATGGGAATAAGGCTTAATATTAATGACGCTTTTGATTCATGTATGATTTTATGAATGTTTGATCAAACTTTATGGTTTTCATGAATTGTAGACTTGCATTTTATTCAAGGATATATATTTAAAATTTATACATTTAAATTATAAAAGGGTTTGTAGTTATAATTTTAAAAAAATCTGGCTATTGCTGCATATGGGACAAACCTGTTAACTGCTGTTTAAGAGGTTGGACTAGGTGTCCCTATTTATTGTTAACTGAACTGAATATTGATATAAGATTTTGTTTTCATAATGTTTGAAACTTAGATTTTGTTATTAAACAGATATAATAATAGATGACTTAAAAATTGCTGTATTACTCAAATAAAATTTGATTATGCTTTGAACCAAAAGCATATGTATTTTTACCAGGAAATAGTTATGTATAATGTCTATAAACAAACTTTTTTTTTTTTTGTATATTGTCAGAAATGAAGTTTCAGAATTGAAAAATTACCTTTGCCAGCTTTTAGAATTTAACTAACTGTATCAACAGTTACTATGGTTTATTTATTGTTAAACAAAATTACAAATAAGTTGTTCACTGAAATTATTTCGTCTTCTGGTTAAGATTTCTATGCCTGCATGCAATAATTGTGGATGCAATAATGTAAGTTAACCTGCATGCAATAATTGTGGAATTATGTACAATTAAAAAGTTTTAAGTGCGACTAAGCCTAATTTTTGGTTACCATAGCAGCCATGTGAGTTTTAGCATCAGCGTTACTTTTAGAATGAAAAGAGACTAAATCTGCCCTTCCAAGAATCTGAAGTTCGTATAAGATTTATTTTGCAATGTTTCATTACTTTATTTCATTTAAATATTATTAATTTAAGGTAGATTAATATATTTATCTATATATATTAATCTAAGGCTAAGGAAATATAAATACTTGAATTATTAAATTTAATTAGTACTAAAATACATGCTAAATTGTTTAAATTTTTTAAAATAATTATAGCAAAATATTTAAAAATGAAACTAATCTAAGCAAGTTATTCAGTTATGCATTTTATATATTTTAAAAAATCATATTTTTAAAATCAATGCAAATCACATATTAGCAATCATTTCACAACTGAAATATGACTATCATTTTCGAAGTAAGGACGAATTTATTTGAATTAATATGCTGACATAATATGAAACATTTTACCGCATACAGAGCAAAAAGTACAATTCTCACGAAGATAAAAATGGGGCAATTTTAAGAATTCCGAGAAAACGTCCGATGTTAAAAGACAATGCATATTTAACGGCTATCCAATTTATATGATGGAAAACTCACCGACAGTCAGGAGAAGCCTCCGTAGACGCTAGTTGAATACAGCACACACGCGGGGTTGCTATAATGCCATTTCCCATTACTCTCAGGAAAACACAAAATCTTAAGGACATCTTAACCTTAAAAATTCCTTTGGACGACCCCTTCGTAACCTTGACAAGTACAAGAAGTACTAGAAAGGTCACGTACAACCTTCCCTTATTTTCTAAGAAAATACTACACGTGGGGTGGACAGCGCAGATTAAAATAATTAAAATCATAACCGGCATGATTCGTAACAAACTTGGCTATTGCCAAGAGAAAGACTCTGATCAGAACAGACATGAATACCTGAGATTCGCAAGATTAGTATATTAAATGTGCATTGCTTGCCTGACCCAGTTAGTATCGTAATTTCACAGAGTTATTCAGTTAAAGTTCCAATAAACACCAGAAGTGGTACACAGCTTTATATTATGAGTCTCATTAGTTGTAAGGAATAATGCTTTATGTTAACTTTTACATTGTACCTTAGGTTTATAGTAAAGATTAAGGAAAGACTGTAACTTCCCTTCACAGTGTGAAGATTAGTTACAAATACTCATAGTTACATACCTCGAGTCGTCACAAGATTTACATGGTCACTAATTATTTTTGTTTCTAAAAAATATGTTAAATAAGCACTATTCAAATCATAATCTAAAAACATTTTACAGTTTAAGATACACATTACTCATGTAATTTTTTATATTGATTCTAAAACAATATTAAGATAATTACACGAAAAAAGCTATGAAACATGTTTCTTAGCAAGAAAACAATAAAATATGCACATTTTTAATTTGAAAATTTTCAAGATATTTTAGCTAATCAGTTTTCTTCTCTTTAATATTTTTGTTTCAGTATATAAATCAATGTTCCCATTAGTCTCTGCTTCATATCCTAGATTGTTAATGTTTAACAATATACCTTTGAAGAATAATTTCGTATTTCTTTCTGTAATCAGTTTCTGAATAAGTTTCCTCTACATTTTAGAATTTCAGATTTAATTAAAGATTTGTTATTTTAAAGAACTACATGTATTTAGAATGATAATTTCTTAAACCATTCACCCATTGTTTTTATTTTATGAGAAAAATACTATTTGTAAAGCCTTAATACACTGAACACGTGCAAACAAACTCGCTGAATTTCTTCACCTAATAAATAGTAGTAAAACATATCCTTAAAGTGATTTTACAATCGAATATCTCCTGGACTACTAAAGACATCTATTAGAAACACTGCAAAGTGAAAAATCAGTGGATTGGTGCAGGAAAATACACTGCCCAGTGTACAGGCAAATAAAAAGTCCCTTTTCGCAGTATCCGAACAATGTTCGGGCAAAACACTTAAGGGGCTAATAGAAATATTGAGAAAATAAAAGAGAAGATAAACATGCTAAGATTTCCAAGACTAAAGCAAAAAATTCAAATAACATTGTTTTCACTGTTCTTCCAAAAAATTTCTCCCAAAATAAGAGATGTCATAAATTTCCTATAATACATATTCATTGGGTATTAAATACCATGAAAACATCTTTCATTTGGTCACATTTTTCTAGAATCGTAGGTCTATATATCTTGCTTTCAAATACTTGCAAACCTTCCAAGGGCCAATGTTAACCATGCCCAACTCTAAGAGCAAAAAGCCAGAAGACTTTTTGAATAAAAAATTCAGAAAAGAAATCTGTGTAAAGTGAATTTTTAAGAGAAAACTGACACACATTTGAATATTCTGAAACAATGAAAAAAGTCCTCTAAAATGAAATTTTAAAATACAAGTAGCTAAAGTAACATTTTTGCTCATCCTCAATTTTCTCTAATTATCTGGCAAAAATATACTTCCAGGTACAATTCCAAGCAAGCAAATGACAGTGAAGAATTAACACAGATATTTATTTCTATCCATTCTGTTGATGAGAATTCAATACAGATCCAAGTTGCAAATAACACTGCAATCAATGAAATCTTTGACAAACAGCATGAAACAGAAGAGCATGTAAAAACAATCTGTCACATTTAACAGTTTAAAAGGTATACATCGCACATGCTATTTATTGTACAAATTAGATAAAAGCGGTACAGTCCCTGTATGGGAGAGGATGCAATCAACTGCAGCACTTGCTAATGCCGATTTTTCGGAAAAGGACACATATGATAAAAAAAAAAAAAAAAAAAAAAAAACATTCTTGATACCCATCAGTGGTTTTTAACCCTCCAGGCGGCAAGGCCGTATATATGCGTTTGAAAATAATGGCTCTCATAGCGGCAAGGCAGCATATATGCGTCCAAATATTTTGGTCCTCATAACAGCAACGCAGCATATATACATAAACTTAAATTTTGGCACGAAACGGCAAAGCAGCATATATGCGGCCTGTCTCAGAGTGCTCTCTCCTCTCTGCTCTTAATGTAAACTGACAGGTGATAATTTTTCTCTGCGGGAGGTAATTGAGGAGAGGAAACTATCTATTTGCTAGGAGCAAATGGGTTTTATTGTTAGGTTTTGAATAACAACTCAGAATAAATAGCTCATTCAAAAACTTCCAGCTGTTCTGTGCTTATACCAGCTATAGTAAACTTAAATGTTTAGGTTCGTAAAGAGAATTTTCATTTTCCAGTGTAATTATTCTCCAAATTTTAGATGCAGTTTGCAAAATGTAATTGGAATTACAATTAAAATTGCAAGAAACAGTAATTGTAACTGTAACAATATTTTGAAATATGCGATTTCAATTATACTGCAATTAGAAAGTACTTTTTAAATGTAACCATAATGTATGTAATTGCATTTATGTCTTACAATTACAATGCAGTGATAATCACAAACATTATAATTATATAATCTAATTACAATTACAAATTTTATTGCATCTAATCACAACTACGGTAAAACTGTAATTGCAAATACATTATTATTATATTAGCTAATTACAACATAATTTTAACTGCAATTGCAGTAGGTAATTATAACTACGTAATTAGGAAAGTAATTGTCTCTGATAATTGGAATTACTTAACCTAGTGAAATCATGATCATAATTGTAATTCTAAGTGTAGTATGCAATTGTAATAAAATTATGCAATTACTAAGTAGTTATAGTTAAAAGTAGCTTTTTTTTTTTTTAATTACATTACAATGTTTTCGTAATTTCATTTA